CATACAATACAAATTTATAAAGAAAACTATTACTTAAGTAGCACAAAAATCCATTAAAGAGAACATTGACATGTTATTTACATATTGACGGCTGAATGGAAGATCGACCTATCTCGGCAGCCGTTTCGAAAACTCCCTATCTCAGAAAATGGCTTAAGAACGCCCGACTTCAGAATCTGATTGAAGAATGCCCTGTCTCAGAATTTGTTTCAAAAACGCATTATCTCAACTGAAAATATATTGAAAATATGTTGTGTTTTTGAGCCGAATTCCGAAATAGGGCATTCTTCAATCAAATTCTGAGATAGGGCGTTTTTGAAAAAATGTCTGAGCTGAGTAGGGCATTTTCGGACCGGCTGCTGAGATAGGTAAATCTACAACTCAGCCGTCGATATGTAATTTCCACTTTTTTACATACTTGCATTTGTAAATACATATATACATTGCAAGAATATTTCCACAGTAACGGCCTAGTTTGTTGGATAAAACAACGGCGTTAGAAAGTACATATTAGGTAATGCATGCACGAACATACTATGTACGTATGTATGTATATAAACGCAAAATCGTTGTCAAACAATCGACATATATAACTTTTATGGTTATTTACATGGCTTTTAGAGTTGAATATGAATTCATTGTTAAAAGCATTTTTATTTTTAAAATTTTATTTTAAAGGTGGTACATATGTACATACACCAGGGTCGAGATATTTTGAGAAACCATATTTATGCTCTGATTTGTTTCACATTTGGCATGTTTAGTTGCAACGTAATAAGACCTAGATTTGCAAACAATTAAACCGCTGGTGACGCTGATGTCAAAAGTAGTACGTTTCTTCCCGTTAAAAATTCTATCATGAACAATATTAACAAAACTTTTTAAATGGATATCTTTAGTAACGTACCGCAAGGTAACGTCACGTCAGATACTTCAGCAGATTAAACATAAAGCAGAAAAGATTTATACATTTAAAAACTTACAAAATTAAGCATAAACATTTCTAATATTACTACAAAAACTTGTACGTAAAAAGTCTTGCCCATTTCGCAATGTTTTGCAATTTTGTAAGCCATATCAAAATCCACTTCTGTTTTTTGTAACGTAACGAAAGCGCGTATATTTACTAATATCTTTAAATCGCTACTAACAACAGATGCAATTTTTTTTTTACTGAATAAGGGGACATTTAATTGCTATGCAAATCTAGAAAAACCATTTTAAAATTTTGACTTTTTCAATTTTTTTTTAACATTTTGTCATGCGAGCGTCACGTAAGACCAGATTGGAAATACCCATATGTACATTAGGGTGATTCAGAATAAAATTGATTGTATTTTCTCCTCAGATCCATGCTCAAAGTTTCGTTTAGACGCCAAAATAATGTCCGCGTCGCACTTTTCGATTTCCCATAAGAATAACACAGAAAATTTGTTTTTTTTTTTACTTCTGTTTTTTTTTTATATTTAACGAACGATACGTTGTACTGATACGGAGACTTATTTGGCGTCTAAACAAAACTTTTGAGCATGGTTGAGAAAATTTTTTTTTCTGAATCACCCCAATCATATGTATGTACATATTTCCATACGTACGCACAGGGTACATAATATGCATGTTTCTAGTATCATGATGTGCTATCTTTTCACTTTTACTGTTTTAATATACATACATACGCATTTTTTCATACACTTGTGCTCAGTTAATTAGTTACCTAACGCTCGTATCTACATATATATATTTTTTTGGCAGTATAATACTTTTTTCCAAAATCTGCATTTATATTTTTTTGCTGCTTACATTTTTTAATACACAGTGTTCGTAGAAACATGCTATAAAAATACATATATATACCGTTATGTAAAAAAAAGAGGCACGACATCTTGTCCCGCTTTGACTACTTTCCTTTCGGTTGTTTGAAGTTTATTAATTTTTTGTTAAAGTCTAGTTAATTATATAATACTTCAACAACATATAAATCCACATTTCAAACTTGGTAGAGAAATTAAAAGAAATCACAAAAAACTTTATATTCATAATTTTTAGAAAAATTCCAAGTATGCAGTTTTGTGGCTTATTAATAATAATGTGCAAGTTTCAATAGGCTAAAAGTTCGTGTTGACTTTAAGTAATTTTTATCCGACGGTTTATTATTTTCTTCATAGTAACTTTATATAGCAGAAAATGCGTTGCGCCATCAGCAACAAAAAAATCAAAAATTAGCGGTATTTTGTACACTTCAAACTAGAACATTATTGCTGCGCAAAATTTTCGAATTTTTCTAATTTTTGTACTAAGTGAGGAATTTGGCGTTTGTTAGACATATGATTTTGTAGAACGGTACACATAATACCAGGGATTCCTTTATTTTATTGAAAAACTGTTAAAAAAACTTTACTGTAAAAAATGCTTTTATTTTTAATCGGAGATACTGCGAAACAGTATTTTTCGCAGTATTATACAGTTTTTTGTCCGAAAAAACATACGAAAGTTAGACATACCAAACATTTTTCTACAAATTTTGAATAAAAAATTTAAAATTCGTTGAAAATTTATAATTTTTGTATGTTCAAAGTTTAAATGTTGAATAATGTGGTGATGGTTATGTAATGTGTTACTACTTTTATAAAAAAATTATAAACATTAAATAGTAAAAAAACATTGCAAGTTGATAAAAGTGCTGTAAAATGGCCGAAACTCGCCAAAATGTAGCTTAATTAGCTGACCACAAGGGTATATGTCCATGCATACATACATATGTACTACATTGGAGCAGCGTTAACATTTATGAGTAACTAATCCACATTTAAATCCCGAGTGAGCGGATGGTGCCTTCACTTGAAGAATGTGTGAAGGGAATTGCATACTAAAATTATTATGTTTCTTTTTTTTATAACTACAAAGCATGTATACTTCTAAATCTATTTCATACTACATATGTATGAAAATAATGCTAAGAAATGAAATTCATACAATGCAAAATGCATCTACATACCCACATACGTAGTATGTACATATTATGTACCTGTGGGCATTCCATATGAACTACTACAATGACGCCATCGTCTGCGCTCAGCGTATGCATGCATTTATATACATACGCATGGATGTATGTACATACATTTTTAATAAAAAAGAAAAAATTAGTTAATAAACGATACTTGAAGCACTTTCACTTTTGCATCTACCCAAAAGCTGGCGCTCGTAATTAGCATGCAAATATTTGAAGGTATTACTTACCAAAAATAGCCAAAAGATTATAAAAATTGCAAGCCAAAATGGATCAGTACATGTCCGGTATTTAGGCCGGTTTCCTTGCGGCTCATCTCCATCTTTACTTTCAGCACAACCCATTATTTACGAACGCTAAAGAATACTTCCAATTGTTGCGGCAATTTATTTTCAATTTGTAGTTCTTTCAGCGATGAGTAAATCCAAGATTCCGTAACACCTATACGCTAATGAAAATGGATAACTTGAAACAAAAATAAGTAAAAAATTGCTTTTGTTTATACAAATATTCGACTTATGTTTGTATGCACATACATGAGTTCTTAATACTCGTACTTTGCTTTTTACCTCCTCTTTATTAATTATTTTTAGCGCGATGCTAGCGCATTACTAAGTTCAACAGGGTCGCATTTAATAACGACCAATAAGTATGGGTTGCAGCTCCACGCGCAAAAACTACCTAAAACTTTACGATTGATGGACAAACCGATTTAGGCGGCGGTTTGCCGCTCCAAGAACAAAAATATAAAACTTTAGTGCGATAGGTATCCGAGGTATATTGGTTTGGCGAGTACTTTAGCAATAAATGAATTATTTGCCGTATGATCAACAACTACTTCCAATTATAAAATGATTCCCAGAGCTAACTTATAAATTTATTAACCTAACATTGCTAAACTTTCCATTGTAGACGGGGTATTAGTACTAAATAGTTTCAGCCGAAACCCTGTTTGTGGATTGTAAAAGTGGATGGAAGGAAAATTGTTGAGTCTGTTTACAATTCTCTTCATTTGTGATAAATTTTGGAGTTTTGCTTTGTAAATAAAAACAGCCAATTTGGAAAATTTTCAAAGATGTCAATGCGACCAGATGACCATCGACGAAAATGGGACAAGACGGAGTATCAACGTTTGGCGCAAGAGCGACTCCAAACGCAAGCAGCCAAAGCTAATCAAAAAGATGAAGGTTAGATTTCCTACATATAACGCCATGGTATTTGCAAAAAAATATGGGCGTTCCATTCTTAACTTAAAACTAAACTTATTTAATGTACAAATTTGTGTTGCCCACTTCCAGAACCTGTACAACGAGAGAACCTGAAGCGACGTGACTATAAAGTTGATCTCGACAGTAAACTAGGCAAAAGTGTAGTCATTAATAAGAACACACCTACCTCACAATCTGGCGGATACTATTGCAATGTATGCGATTGTGTCGTCAAAGATTCGATCAATTTTCTTGATCATATTAACGGAAAAAAACATCAACGTAATCTGGGCATGTCCATGAAAGTGGAGCGCAGTACGGTCGATCAAGTGAAAGAACGTTTCCAGGCGAATAAAAAAAAGATGGAAGAAAAACAAAAGGATTATGAACTGGAACGCCGACTACGTGAAGCCAAGGAGGAAGAAGAACGTTACAAGGAACATCGAAAAGAAAAGCGGAAAGAACGCAAGAGAAAAGCAAATGACGATTTATTCACAGGTGAACTGTCCGATGATATGGCTGCCATTATGGGATTTTCCGGATTTGGTGGATCGAAAAAGAACTCTTAGAAAAAACCACATTGGTAATCATTTTATATTTATAATAAATAGTTGTTATTACATCAAACATTGTAACATAAATGCTAGAAAAAATATAAAAATATGAACGGGGAAAAGTCTTGGAAGCATTCGGCTGGCAGCGCCTGACATCGGGTTATTCACATGAGGTAATGACGATGATACTGGACACTTGGACTGTAGAGATTGTAGAAAAGTTTTTTTTATCAGAAAATAAAACTGAATATATTTTAGAAAATATGTACATTTACGAGTGAAGATATGCGTGTATGTATATAATTTAAACGGCTTACCACTAACGCTTTGTTTATAATTTCGGCTGCAAAACTTCGCAACATACGCGCAGGCTTAAGACCACAGAGCAGAGCTGTTCTTATGTAGTCACAGTTGATTATTTCGGTAAATTGCCTGGAGTATATTAAATAATGAACTAAAGACATTAATATATATGATTCTTTTATCTTTTGATTTTTCATGTATGTATATAAACTCATATTACATGAGGGTACTTAGTAGAACTTAAAATTAAGTACGCTTCCAATAAAAAATTTATATCAGCCACTTGTGTTTTTAAGCTTAAATTTGTTATTTAGGGTTAAAAAGGATAATTCTAACGAGATATGGTTCTCACCACCAGAATAAGAGCTATATAACTTCTAAACATTTAAAATTATATAAAAAAAACTAGGCTCAAGTTCAAATAAAGTTCTGATTGAAACGTTATTAAGTCACAATGATAGCAAAATTATACATACATCTATGTATGCAAAATTTTCCTAACTTTGATTTCTTTGACCAACATGGCGCACTTTGTATCTTACAGCAGTCTAATATGTATGTATGTATTAAATTAACGTATTAATTATTTAACAAGCCTCACCTGCATACATACGCCTTACTTCGTTTTTCAAACCAATCTGCCGGACCCTCGCAATCAATAAAGTCGTCGCGGAGTTCTGATATACAACTGCGATAATTTTCCAGATCTGCATTTCAAATAGAAAGTTTTGAGTATAGTTTTTAAACAGAGTAAGCTCATAGATGGAGACCATGTCAGTTTACCAACGTTTCGACTTGGTTTCGGCTCTGCCGCAAATTTGTTCGTCAAAGAATTCTAGTGCACGATACAGCCGCATATAGAGATTGGTTGTAGGTGACGGCACACAATCTGTGAGTGTGTCGTTTATGTGACCCAAAACCCGGTGTGTGCTGTTACACGTGTTGCCTACAGAGTCCCATGTCAATAAAAGTAATATGCGTTCCGGACTCGTCACCCGTATACAAGCCAAATGCAACATAATTTGCATCTCATTGCACAAATCGGGTTGATCACATTCATCGTCCTGAAAATTACCTTAATATTTAAATTTAGAACTTCCAGAAGGCAAAATAAATTTTTGTACCTCTGCAACACTAGAAAAACTATTTATCATGTCTCGAATAACACTATCACCCCAGAAGCAATCTGCAAATGACACTAGCGAAAGGAGAACAATCCACGAGCACACATTTCTGGTACGCATTATATGAAATTTATAAAATTTAAAACGAGTTTCGAAAAAATACGCAGCATATAAAATATAGATTATCTGCTATAAAACGACTTTTAAAGTTTTCAGCTGTTATTTTTTAATTTTCTTGGATTTTGTTATTCAACTCTTTTCTACTGTTTATGTTCTTATTTACTCATTTTATTATTCAATGTCATTTTTCAATACAGTGTCCCAAACAAGTGTTGAAATATTTTTATTAATTACAATCAAATTAAATCTAAATGCATTCCATATATCATAAACGGAAATAGAACTTCAAATATCTATTATCAATCGCCAACGAATATTAGTACAGCTTTGCTTAGTGTACAACTAGTCACAGTTAGTGTACAACAGTCACAGCTACCTCATGTTATTAAAGCGATTTAGGTAAATACAAAGCCACTTTCAATGGGAATGTCCCATGGAATGTCAAAGTAATCTCTAGGCAACGGTGTACAATGTGTAGATTTGTAATCACGAAAATGTTTTCGCAGCTGAAAATACATTTTAGTTAATTATCTGTAATGATGGCTTATAGAAGGTGCTTACTAAAAATTCGGCCATTTGATCTCGAGTTTCTTCTGTGTAATCTTCACCAATCAACATCGGAAACGATTTACCCTGATCAGAAGCGTATGTTATGAGACGGGACATGCAAAGGTCATCATTTGTTACTGAAAGGAGGAATTAATAGTTAAAAAAATATATCAAATAGAAAATTAACTTGCGTGCTTACCAGAAAAGTTCTTTGTTTCTACAGGGCGCGACAAAATGTTCTTAATCCGTGCCAATTGTGCCGTCTTAAATATCAACGGATAACGATACTTAAGTAGAGTTATAACCAAGTAGTTTCCACGGTTAGATTCAATGCGATTATCGCTAAAAATAGAATCCAATTATGATAACATAATATTTGTATATCATTTAATATACTCGGAAATGATTTCGTCCTCGGTCCGCCGTATCAGTAGTATTGGTCCATTGTAATTTTGTATAGATTCTACATTATTTAAATTACAATATTCCCTTATACCAAGCTTCACTATACCGGCCAAGCTCTCGGGCATGCGCGACTGCGCAAGATACAACACGTCATCAAATGTTGCATCTAAAATCTGCGCACAAATTTAAGATTTGTCGATATCATAGAGTAATTTGTCTTACCACTCCCTTTACATCTGGATAGAGATTCGAAGCCCATAAAGCGCTAACTCCACCAATACTCCAGCCATATAAAATAATGTCTTCGACGGCGAAACCAAGATGGTGAATAGCGAATTGCACAACGGCATCGATGGCATTTTTATCTTGATCTGGATATGGAGCACCAGAACTGCCTGCGAAACCCGGATGATTCCATCCTAGTACAGAATACCTTAACGCCAACGGTGTGCCCATTATACCGACTTCATAGTAAGCGGCATTTCCTTTTTTAATTAAAATCAACTAATTGTTTAATCAAATCAGACATACTATAAGTGATTTTCACCTTCAGAACAAATAACTAGGGTATCTCCGTTTGCATTTCCATTTTGACGATTGTCTACGAAAATGCTATCGATTTCATTGTGATCTACCGTTTTTATTTTGTTACGCACAGCATTGTGCTCATCAACCAATTTGGACCGTCCTTCAACCAAGAATGCATCTGTATTTTTAAGAAATTTAATTAGAAAATCATATTTTTTCATAGGGAATGGTATAAACATTCAACTTACGCATGTAATATTGTAAAATCTTTATATATCCGGGATAAATCATGCGTATACCAAATGTGTGTATGGCCACATATGCGGCTAGTTTGCATGGTAATGTAGCAAATCTAAATTGGCGAGGGTCGCGGCTGCTTGTAGCTAATTGTCTTTTCTTCTCATCGCTAAAGAAGTTAGAAAATGAGTTCCATTACTTTTTTCGCTACAAAGAATTTTTAATTTTCTCACCTTTGCAAGCTACTTGCATCAAAGTCTACCTGCCATGAACGAAAATCAAAGTCGAATTTCCGAATAGCTCGCTTGGCTTCATCAGAGTTGGATAACTTGGACAACTCGATAGCCTTGATCATTTTTACATACGACCTTGATTGAGAGCGACCTAAACCGCGAATACATAACGATATGACGACAATGATACCAATACTAGTGGTGAACTTGAAAAATGATGAAATGGAATCGGCAATCAAGTAGCCTCTTCTGTACAAGAAAGTTACTATAAGCGGAGATGTATAATAGCTAATGTTCCACATCAAAGAGAGCTGTAAGCAAAATCATTTTTGAGTATTGTGGTAGTTTAACCGTCTAATAAACTAGTTGTGTATGTAAATTACCGTGGATAAAATTTGATCACCGAAGCGTTCCAAGCCACCTGGTTCGTAAAGTTTCTATAGAAAACGATATAAATAATTTTTAGTTATAATATTGTTGCAAAATATTTTTTATATCCATACGTATGTATACCTTATCCAACCCATACTCCTGATATAATTTCGGTCCAAACACATAACTCAAAAAGCCCATTGCTATAAAAATCTGGGGTCAGAGGTTATTTCAAAATACCTAAATTCACTATCAAATATTCAATTAGTAAAAACACTACTGCAGCGAGCACAAACTAGCAATTTCAATGGATAATATAGCCCAAGGTGCGTCGCAAATGAAAACCTGAAATGGTTGTCAAACGACAACGAAGGGGGTCGAATAGAGGTGGGTAACTCAACTCAGAGTTGAGTTATTGAGTTGATTCCTATAAGTGAATCGGTAACTCAGACTCCCTGTCCAAAAAAAATGTAACTCAGTAACTCAGTTGATGCCGTAGGGCTCACATGAATCAATTGAATCATAGTGGCTCATATTTGTCCATATAACTCTCTCGCTTCGCCACAGTGTTTAGCATGGCAAAGTCTTGCATTTTGTTTTTGCACGAGGCGAATTTATACAAGGTGGTGGCAAGAATACAACAACAACAACCACATGTATTTTGTATTGCGGGTGTTATGTCAAATCTCACAAATTCTTATAATTTCGTTTTTTTTTTTAGTTTTTCTCGAAATATGTATGTATGTAAGATATATAAAGATGTGCATATCAAATCAATTGCCTTTCCAACCATATCCACATTTTGAAATTCGGTACAATAGGTTTCGAAATATAAGCTTTTGAAAATATTGAAAATTCCACCTTTACCCTCCCCCTAGCACCGCCCTATTAATTTGCACACAAAAAAAATTACACCTTTCAAATCAGTAGAAAGGAGCTGACCACGCCCACTTTAAAGTTTTGTTTTATCTCAACGGCCGCTATACCGCATCTATGCCTCAAAACGAGTCTACGATACGAATGAGTGTAACATACAAAGAGTCAAATGAGTTAGTTGAATGAGCTGACTCCTTAAAGTGAGTTGGAGTCATTGAGTCAACTCCTATAAATTTGATGAGTTACCCACCCTTAGGGTCGAAAATTTGTGATGAAACCGACAAACTTTCAGCTGATGAAGTTAGGGCTGCCACGTTTCAATTTATAAAATCTTTCATAATCACACCATCCTAAACAGATTTTACGTCGGTACTTATACCTTAAACGAGCCTAGTCATTCCACCAACAATGAAAACGGCCAGACATTAAAACGACATTAAAAACTAGTGGAAGCTAGTTCATGTAGGTGACACGATTATCCTTATTTTGGAGCTTAGATAGATAGATAGATAGATAGATAGTATGCACTGCGACTAATGATCTACTGTGCCCTCTGCTCTTCACAATACTTCCTCCGAGCCTAGATCCCTCAGAAGTTCCATAGCTTATTCGGGGATAGCGAGTGAATGCGCTCCAGCTGTGGCCACATTGAGCCTTTACTCCTCTCACGTCTTCTGCTGACGGCATCACACTCGATGAGGATGTATAGTGGTATTTCACTGGAAACGTCGCAAAACCGGCAGAGGTCATTTGATTGTTGTTGTTGTTGTAGCGGCTACAACAACCCCGCCCAGATCGGTTGGTATCTCAGTCGTTGCCGTCAAGTTCCACTAACGGCAACCCTAGGAAGCGTGCAGCTTCTGCGGGGTTTGCCCATAAGGACAAGGTCGTTAGGGATGTCGGGTTTGCCGGGCATGCGAAGAGATGTTTCGAGTCATGTGGGGTCTCTCCGCATGCCGGACATTCATTAGGCACATCCTCATTCAGCCTACTCAGGTAGGAGTTTAACCTGCTGCAGTAGCCGGAGCGAAGTTGTGCAAGTGTGGTGCGCGTCTCCCGAGGCAGATGAAGCTCCGTCTCGTCAATGTCCGGGGGTGGTGTGCCTAGAACGGCATTCACAGGTCTAGAGTCTACATAACTCGAGACTGAGTCCCTGTGAATGCCGTTCAAGGCCTGTCTGTAGGCTGTCGGGTCCAGAGGTTGCTTAATGAACCTCTGGACTTCGTCCGTTAGTTCATATAGATGCCTCCTGACGTGCCTAGGCGAGGGCTCCTCTGCAAGCAGCTGTCTGCACGGGTGGCCACTTCTGTGGGTCCCGATCAGGAACTGCTTGCAGAGCATTATATTGTGCTCCTTTACAGGGAGCATTTGCGCCTCGCCGTGCAGGTGGTGTTCAGGCGTCATCAGGAGGCATCCCGTCGCTGTCCTCAGTGCGGTGTTTTGTGCGGTCTGTAGCTTCGTCCACTGCGTCCTACTAGTCCCAGGCGACCACACTGGCGCTGCGTAGTTCAAAACCGGCCGGCCTATTGCCTTGTATGTTGCCAGCAACGTTTCTTTGTCTTTGCCCCAAGTACTGCCGGCTAGCGACTTGAGGACCTTGTTGCGGCTCTGTACTTTATTGACAATAGCGGTTGAGTGCGCAGAGAAGGAGAGCAGGCTGTCGAAAGTTACTCCGAGTATTTTGGGGTTATTCACCGTCGGAATTGGTGTGTCATCGACGTGAATCCCCAGCGGTAGCCTCCCCTACGAGGTCATTTGATCGTATCCCCAGCTTATATAGATGCCCTCTTAGTCTGCAGTGTCCAGTAAGAAAACCTGATAATATTCTCAGCTTCTCTTTCGGAAGGCAAATTAATCTCTTGAATCTCTTCTTGTTATAGCAGGCTTTTTGCCTGACGCATTACTACCAAACTATGCCAGTTCAAGTCCTTCATATTGTTCCTCTCCTCCCTGGTCCTGGGACCCACTCACAGGAAGGTCTCAGAACCAACTGGAGTATTGGCTACCGCCTCTCTTGCGAGTTAGTCCGCCGCTTCATTCTTCACACAGACTTCTGCTTGAAATATGCTCGCGTATTTCCCCATAGGAATGGATATCCTGGTCCTGGGTCCAGAGTTTCCAGTCCCAGTACTATCGTGAAGGAGTCTATCGAGGGCGGAGGTACTCCAGGATGCTTTACTGCTTAACTTAATTTTAAACTTCTTTTCAAAAACTATAGATATACATATGTCATCCCTCGGAAGCAAAGCTAGCGGGAGCGAGGCCCCTAGCTTCGCCATGATCTTGGAGGAAATGACCTTGCCTCTTCCATATTCCCCTTTGGCAAAACTGAGTATGCTTATATAAAAGGGCTCGAGTTCAAGGACCACTTCCAGCACTGTCGTCGGACACGTCCCCATCCAAAGTAATGTCCCTGATGCCCAGTAGGGCTCTTTTCCTAGTAAATGGAACGATGGCGGTTTTGGCTGGATTAATGCTATGCCCACACTTGGTACACCATTAAACGATGTCGCAGAGGTTGCTCTCAAACTTCCCTCTTGTCGGTCTCTTTGTCGCGTCACTATGTTCTTTGCCTTTGTTGTTATATTTCGAACTGTTAAGCAAAGTGAGGAAAGCCGTATGTAAACGGCCCTTAACTCCTTTTTGATTTGTGGCAGCGGAAGCTGCTGCTCAAATTTGACGGTTAATAATCATGTTTTTTTAATCACAAGTGTAAACCTGTTGTAAGCTTATTATTTTGACAACAGTAAACAGCCAATAAACATGACAGCAAAATTTATTCACATTTCAGCGTGTCGCGTCTTGTGAAAACTGCTCCGATTTCTTGCTGTGATCGAAAAATATATAATTTATATAGATTTTAGTAAAAAAACTCCAGTTTGTGTATTTTTTGTGTTAAAATTTGAACATTAGTAAGGTGATCTAACACAAATGTTTGCTGAATATGCTGGATTTTTTTCTGCCCCACAATTTCGCTATTGACCCCTGAAAAATATTGGACAAGTTGTTAAAAGCTGTTTTTAGTTTCACAATCTTTATATATAACGCTACGTTTATCAAGGATTTAACAAAAGTGTAAATTTAAAAACTATAAAGCACTGCTCAAGGCCGTGCGAGACACGCTCGCCACAATATGGCACCGGCTCCTCAGCCCTTGGAAGGTAAATTTCAAGGACCAATGGCCGGATACCTGCCTTCAGGGCAGGAGGGTGGCCCCCGTATGAACACAATCTCACTTGCTGTTCTAATTGATTTTATAATTCAGAGGACTTACCATGATCTCACAGTGCTCGCAGAATTGTAAGTAAATATGTACATACATACTTATATGATAAGTTCCATATTGCACCGTAGGAAGTATTCCCGTAAATATTTTTTAACTATTGCTAAATATCCGCATAACTGTATATAAAAATACATGTATGAATTTACGAACACCGATACGCTGGAAGCTCTAAGAATAAAAGTATTTTTTTTTTTTATATATTACCATAAACACAGGTTACCCCGTAAAACTGACATGGAACGAAAAATTGAGATTTACAATTTTTCGGCGCGAACTCGCCAGCTGTTTATACGTCTTATTGCTTTGGTAAAATGGGCTAACTCTGTTTCCAAGGTGGACAAATCCGCGGTATGTACAAATACGTAAATATTAAGCTTTACGTTCCTTCCTTTTACAATTATTATACTCTTCTATAGAATATCATGAGCTTCCTGGACAAGCAAAATATGCTATTCATAGAAACTGCGGATATGTTGGCGCGTATGTCACGTGAAACGTTAATCCGCGCTCGTCTGCCAAACTTTCATATTCCTGCAGCTGTAGAAGTTCTGACTACTGGCACCTACAATCGCCTTCCCACTTGTATACGCGAACGCATTGTACCACCAGATCCCATAACGCCAGCAGAAAAGAAACAGACACTTTTAAGACTAAATCAAGTGATACAACACCGCTTAGTTACGGGCAAACTGCTGCCACAAATGAGGGAATTTAAAGTGAATTCAATACAATATATGCAATAATTATGAATAATACCCTTGATGAAAATACTTTTTTCCTAATAGATCAAAAATGGACGTGTAACGTTTGAAATTAAACATGAATTCAATGTGTCGTTGACAGTTATGGGTGATGGCAGCAACGTACCATGGAGGCTTTTGGATATAGACATATTAGTAGAGGACAAAGAAACTGGCGGTAAGTACATACATCTTCTGTGGACTCATTATATAATACGCCACTGAATTTATTATTTTATTTTGCTTTTTTTGCGAATGTTTATCAGATGGCAAGGCATTGGTGCATCAACTTCAAGTTAATTATATTCACCAGCTCATTCAGGCGCGCTTAGTAGAAAATTCAAATGCACTAAGCGAGGTCTATAACTGTTTGCACTATTTTTGTCAATCTCTGCAGCTTGAAGTACTTTACACACAAACTCTACGTCTCAGCTATGAGCGTTTGGATGACAATATTAACGTTGAAGAATATAT